TGGGGTTGGGGAGAGGGACGACCAGCAAGGCAGCGATGTAGGAACCGGGAGTCATTGGTACCTCATGATAGGGGGGGGGGGGGTCCCCAAGTTTTTGTATCACCTGCCAGTTGGTTCTCCAGTTCTGGAAAACAGTTAACTAGCCCTTGGCGCTGCACAGTAAATGCAACCATTTTGAAGGTTTTTATCCACATTTCAACTTTTCATGAGTTATGAATTTCATGAGCTATGAGTGGTAGAGTGGACGCTCGTTCTCCGGGAAGCACGGGCTGGCCGTCTTTTTTAAACTTGATCTCATTCTCATCCACTGTTAAGCACTAATGAAGCCCGTTATCTCTTTTCGGGAAAGGGGCCCTTTCTGGGAAAGGGGCCTGGTGGGTGCAACACTAAGGGGCATACTAGCGCGCCCGGTCAAGGCCTGAAAGGCTATCCCATCCCAGCGCGGGCTGCCTACCGTCTACCATTCTAGGGACACGGGGCGGGGTTTCCTGTTCGATCTGGATGCATCATACACTGGTCACTGGTCCCTTCCCTGACGCGGGACGCCCTGTGGTCTGGGCAGTAGGCTGCAGATCGATGCAGGAGCCCTCATTGACGCAACAAGATCTCTTAGCGCCGCAGGTGGCCCAAAAAATTGGCACAGAGACTCCAGTTCGGCTTGACGGGACCTTGGCTGAAATGGGGTGGAGCGCCCCCTATTTGTGCTGGAGGTCCTGGCTGAGACAGGGCCCTTTCGCTGCCTCATTATGTCCTCTTATTATAAGCTTGTATGTAATATTTCATTGTCAGAGTGCCTCGACCTGCGCAAGGGACCCTCTGGCGTTCGGGTCTAGTCCTTGTGCAGCAAATGTTCCCCAAGCCGACTCGGGAGTCCGGGACTCCTAGCTGACGCAGGGGCCCCTGTAAGGCACTGTGAGTCACTGACTGGCAAAGGGTCCCTCATTTTTGCACGAGCCCCAATCAAGGTAAGTCGCGTGCCCCGGTCTTGTCCCTGGTTGGAAATGAGTCCCCAGGGCTGAGATGGACCCAGAGTCGCGTGTTTGGTGTTAGTAGTTTCTGGCCGCAATAGGGGCCTGCACTGTCCCGGTGGTCTCCTATCGGTGTAAGAAGCCCTCTGACAATTCAGGTCAGGGCCCTATGGTTAGGAGTCCTAAATGTGACCTACAGCCAGCTCTTCAGCCCCCTCATCCTTTCAATTGAGCCTTTGATCGTCGATCCCGAAGTGCCCGTCGGGTTCCTCTTCTAGCTCCCTCGAACACTACCCCTTGGCCCACTCGGAAACCCTTCCCAACACAAGATCCTGTTAGGCACTGTGGGACCCCTAGCCGAACCAGGGCCTCCCACTGACTCAGGGGACTCGACCGACGTAGATCGCGGGATCCAGTCTTGTTCCCGCTTGGGTAATGGACTGTGAGGCCCAGACCGGCGCCGAGCCGACTGTTCGGTACTGGTGGTGACCGGCTGACATAGGTGCCCGCATCGACTCAGGGGCTCCAACCGGTGCAAAGGGCCTCCTGACTAGCATTTGAGGGTCTGGCCCGCAGGGCCAAGAACTTTAATGCTACCTATGGCCAGCCCCTCGGACCCTTTCGTCGGTCCTGAGGGGCCGCCTCCTGTGTCTCCCCCGTGCCTGTGACACCGTGTGCACCTGATTTCCGTGTTTGCCTTGCCATGCTATGAACAACATTTTACTAACTTATCACCTCATGAAGACAGCTCGCCATAAAAAGGAAGATGCCAGGCAAAGTGGGAAATGCGTCGCAGGTTTCGTGTTCGATACTTGGAGCCCGACGGTGGGCCAAAAGCTTTCACTTGCGTGATTTAAGTCCTGTGTGGCTGTTTCAGACCATTTCGCGTACGTGCTGCGATGCAAGATACGATGCCAGGACCAGCTGTCTAAAGTGAACGGGAATCAGCTGACAGACTACCTCGAGTCCCACTTCACTATCTTCAGTTCGCCTACTTCAAGCGTGAGTCGGCGTCTTATCGGGACTTAGAACGAGAGGCGTGAAGTCAACACTCGCGCTTGTGAATCGCTGGAATGTGGCGCCATGGCAATGTGAAGTGTGAGAACATGTTGGCGATGAACGTGCCTCACGCTAGCTGAGGGAGGATTGTTCGAAAGATCTATTGATGATCCATGTTATGGACTCGCGACATGACGAACTTCTCGTGTGTGATTTCGTTATGAGTTTCTCTCGAGTGGGGTTAGTAGTAAAGGAAGAACATTATTTCTGGTTAACATTCATATTTTAAGCCTCAGCAACAGAATACGCTACATCGAGACAGCCTTAGCAGTAAGTGCGCTTCACATTGGACCATTGTTTTTTTCAGAAAATCGTTTACCCGAGGCGTGTAGCAGCGTGGCCAGCTACCTACTGTTCAGGCCAGAGGACGAAGACATGCTGGGCAACAAGCGGCTCTACCTAAAGGAGGACGGAGTGGACGAAAGCTTTTTCGTCCCCAGACCGGTGAGCTATGGCGAGCAGCAATCTATCCCAAAGGAAGTACGTACCGCGGGGCGGCTTGGGGACAAGCAATCGTCATTGTGATGTCAACAACTGGGAACAATCATCACTGGCTTCTTGAAGAAAAAATTCCGTTTAGTCTCCTGGATTAGATCACGAGAGAGAGAGAGAGAGAGAGAGAGAGGAGAGAGAGAGAGAGAGAGACGAGAGAGAGAAGAGAGAGAGAGGAGAGAGAGAGAGCGAGAGAGAGAGAGAGAGAGAAGAGAGAGAGAGAGAGAGAGAGAAAGAGAGAAGGAGAGAAAGAGAGAGAGAGAGAAAGAAAGAAAGAAGAAAGAAAGAAACGAGAGAAAGAGAGAGAGAGAGAGAGAGAGAGAGAGAGAGAGAGATATATATATATATATCTATATATACATATATGTGTGTTGTGTGTGTGTGTGTGTGTGTGTGTGTGTGTGTGTGTGTGTGTGTGCGTGTGTGTGTGTGTGTGTGTGTGTGTGTGTGTGTGTGTGCGTGTGTGTGTGGTGTGTGTGCGTGCGTGCGTGCATGCATACATGCGGTGCGTGCGTGCGGTGCGTGCGTGCGTGCGTGGCGTGCGTGCGTGCGTGCGTGCGTGTGGGTATGATGGGGCTATGACCATTCAGCCATTGGTGGTGACTGGCATGAGAAAAAGACGAAGAAGTTTGCAGAACACGTAGATTGGGCGAGTTCCACTCTAAACCACCTTCATGTGGGGGATGCGGGCAGCAGAAGGAGGACAACGCAATGGCAACCGAAGTCGTATGACTGCATCTGGTTGGTGAAATAGCCTGGATTGTTAGTTCAATCAGTAGGGTATGGGTGCTGTCAAGTGCGATTCTGATACCTACCGTACTTTGTCAAATGGCGGGCCTAAGGAGTTCTTTCCTAAGATAATACGCTGACTTTCCTGGCGTCCACAGGACATTGTTGAGTTTGCGAAGCGAAGAGAACGGGAAAAGAAGCTGGATCGCTACATCCTGGATAACTTCCGGTTCAGTGACGATGCCAGCAAAAAGAAAGGGGTGAGAAACGCTTCTTTGGCGCGGGAAAGCCTGGTGCTGGTATTTCTATGCATGCTTCGGTGATCTTGCGCTGGTAACCTGGCTGCACTGTGGGCAGGGGCGGCGCAACAGGGGGAGGGGAGACAAATGGGGCCATTGCCCCTCCTCCTCTACCGGCAGGCAGAGGGAAGAGTAAATCCCCCAAAACAAGAAATTGGGAGACGCCATTTCCCCAAACTAAAGGCGTTGTAACATACCGTAGATTACCAACGCTCAGATCAAGGACGCCCCTATAAGTGGGCTAGAGAATAAACAATCTGACTCAGATCATTTTCTACATTAAGAGTCCCGTTTTTTGGATTATCAGGTGACCTTTATGAAAAAGTAGGTCATGCTCTAGACCACAAGGCACAATGTTTTGCTATGGTTTTGTTGGCTTGGCTTGGCTTGTTCGCTCTTTGTTGGCTTTGCTGGCTATAAACTACGAGGCCCTGTTGCGGGCTAGGAGGCAATATCTATATTCAGGCCCGCATTTCTGGAGCTGGGGCCCTTTTCATGCATCAGATGGCCGCGGTTCCGAACCGGGATACCCTGTTTTGCGATAGCGTGGCCCCTTGGCTGGATCTGGACGCCCGCCTCGTGAATCAGATGCACCTTGTTCTGGAACGGGAGATACGTTTGTGAATCATAACCTGTTTTAGGCTATCGAGATCATTTTTGATGGATAACTTGAAGAACCCCACTCCCCTTTTTAAAATTGTGGACATTTATTTACTTGGATATTATGCAACTGCTTGATAAAGGAGTATATGTCCTCGATGCCCCCCCCCCCCCCCACCGCTCCGTGAATAATTAACTGTCCAGGAGCCACCCCCCCCCCCCTTGAAGATCCTGTCCCCTAATTCAAAGTCCGTGGCGTCGCCCCAGACTGTGGGGACTTAGCACCGCCAATGCAAAGGTGTGGCCCTGCGAAAAGAAAGATGTAGTTTTTACTGCCCTGTAGCTGGGGTTAGTTGAGCTCGACCCATCTCTGCCGATAGCAGAATAAATAAAAAAAAACATTATTGGAGCGCCACATGGTTGCAGACTTCGCCCTCTCACTATTCTGTATGCCAAAAATATGTGCACATATACTACGAATATAAAAAGCCTGTGATATTCACTACACACTACACAAGCGCTTTTGAGCTATCGACCTGCAAACTAAAATTGTCATCAAATTAAAAGAAAGATCGCAGCACGCTGGCGTTGCAGCACGTCGCTCTTGCTCCGGCGCCAGTTCATGGCGTCATTGTCCAGAACATGCCGCTGCGTCGCTGCGCGGGCCGCCTCAGACTGCAGTCAACATTGACAGTCCGTTCCGGTGCTTTCAGGAGCTGGGCGAATCCTGACTAATGCGGCTGAATATACGGATCTCGTACCAGGTGTAGAGCGGTCCACCGACACGGGGCTGCGGTGGCAGCGCTGGCGGCCGTGTGCGCTCCCTTCCCCGCGGAGGAGGAGGCGCTCAGATCAGGCCGCTACTCTGTTACCAGACAGCATCGCCATTGACAACACTGCCGCCACTCGCACCGCCATACCATCCCTATATTCGCTGCTGACGCGTGGTCCGGGCTGTCGCGAACTTCGACGTCCTCCTGCCGCTGTCTGGCCTTCTACAGCTGGGCCGCAGCTCGGAGACACGGTCGTGCTGTCCGGGTTTTTCGCAAAGCATGTGCCGTTTGCTAACGTTTGTCCAACGTGTTGTCCTCCATCGACTGCTGTCCGCTTTTTTGCGCCAGTTTGCGTCGTTGCAGGTGCATCGTTGTCTACGCAGTTCTCGGGCGCGGTTGAGCAAGGGTGCATGCTGACAGTACATAACCTCTTGACGCCGCTTTGTCAGCATACCAGGCATTTATCTTAGGAGTATTTTGTGACATTGTAAGTCAGTGTATCGCCCGGGCGTTCGGTTGGGGTGCAGCGACACTGCGTCTAAAAAGGGTTTGAGAACCCCTGGAAAGACACGCAATAAATGGTACGCACGGCGTATATTTTTATCTCGGCTGACCACATTCTCACCATATGCAAATGCATCTTTCCACCGGATCAGTGTTGTACGACGTCTAAAAAATTGTAAGACATGATGCGATTCAAACTGACACGGATCAGATGAGTTTATGCCTATTGTGCAGTGTTACTGAATGGACGCTGGAGAAACACTTGTGAACAGCTGATTAATGCAATTTAGAAGTGTTCATGAGTAGTCACTGGAGATGCTGCCGTTGTCATGCATCTCGTCATACAGCGGAGATTGCTGCCACATATAGTATATGTTTGCGTTAAGCCGAGTGTGCCTAGTCAAGTTAGGAATTTTGACTGTGCACATAGGATGGTATGGAATTTTGATTTACAAATTTTGGTGTCGCTGGTTTCTACAAATTCGCCTCCACTGACGACATAATGCTGTAGCCCCAAATTTTATTTGGTTTGTATGGAAGAACAAAGTTATCCGGTAGCCCCCAAGCAACATTCGCTACCTAACACGTCGACATCATTGGGAAGGTATCGTTAGCTCTGCTTAATGACTTTTCGAGGATGTCGATTATCAGCGCTGACAGCAGCTTGCGAACGCGGGGATGGCGGCCATTATGTTGTTTTTTTGTTTACAATCAGCTGAGGGTTGCGAGTGTACGAGTTTAGACGTATGGCAAGGCTGGTCAGTTGATACACACCAATTCATGTCGGCCTACTATATACTTAGATGAGGAACAAGTATTGTGTCGCGTTAATCGGCTGCACCAGGCTCGAGGAAAATCTGATTGCTCTTCGTTGCTTACCAACCCAAACAATGGCCGAGTTTCTAGCGCGCAGTTACCCGCAACATAGAAGCCAGCGTGTTCGTCCTTTCCTGCCCGCTGATTGGTTTATCTTTCAGGATTGTTCTTGTTCACGCAGAGCCATCGATGGGATCGATAAAAATGAATGAACAAAAACTGTTGCAAGACCCAAATGCACATTTAGCAACCAAAATGAACCGTACATAATTCCAAATTCCCCCTAGGCGTGTTTTGAGAAAGCCGAAAACTTTGGACACACTCCCTTTAAAGGCAGCGGTCCCTGTTTGTATAGTGCTTTGAGCTGAAATGGCCACCTTGAAGATCATTTAGGTCAGTTCAGAGCCCTGCTCTTCTTAAGACTTAAAGAAAGTGACATTTGAATAAAGAGCGACTTGTCCCTTCAGTTGTTGAGCTACACTCATTCAAAGATTGAAGACTATTTTGTGCCGACTATTTTAAGGTTACCAAGGCATTCATGATGTCATGATAACGCCATTTACATCCTGCCATTTCACTGGCCATGCAGTATTCAAGGTCCATAAAGCTAGAATTGTCGAGTTGTTCATATCTGGCGTGTGTGAGCACGATTTTCAGATGTGGTAACCGTTCATTGCATAGGTGTTAGAATGTTTCAGAACGTGAGGGCCAAGCTCAGGGCGTACTTCAGGAACTTCTTCTGGTAATCAAGCCCGATGGCCGGGGGTAGGTGTAGAAATGGAGGTTATTATCGCTCTTTATTCAAATGTCATAGCTGCTATGCTAGATATGCATCTAGAGCTGCTTCTCACTAGTGCACAATCTTGCCCTTTCGACTCATCTATGTCATCCGGCAAATAAGGCTATTCAGATTCCCAAGATTATGCGGCCATTTCAGTATGGGGAGGCGAAACTTCACGAGCGGATAGGCGTTTTGGGGCATTGATTAGCATCTGCCTCCACAGGGTGGATACCAAAATACGGCCTGAACTTAGGCTGGTGAGCATATCGAACGTGAATCGATGGCTCACAGTGCAAGACTTATCACAGCATTTTAGTCGGAAGCAAATTCGGAAGCTTGAAACTGCCAAAGCAACGTGACAAAAGCCATAAACTGAAAATTATTTAAAAACCAAGCTACAGAATGAAAGACCTATCATATATTCCTTATCTGGGCTCTGCTTCCGTCCGCCGTCGGCGGCCACTACCCTGGCCCGGCTGTCTCCCGCATGAACGACTGCGAACTGATCGTATGGCTGCTTTGTTGCATATTTCTGGAACAGCATTGCTGCTAAATCGTGTGTAAAACATATGGTGGACAACTGCAACAATATCTTTTTCCCAGTTGTCTTCCTTTACACCACACCACCCCAGAAAAAGCCCCCTGCGAAGCTGCCTGTTTTAGGTATGAATTGGTCCAACGGATATTTAATTTCCACCATGCAACGCAGGCAACTTGATCTGCCTTTGTATAAAAGCGGGGACGTAACCAGAGTCTTGCCAAGGGGGACACAGAGTTGGCAAAGGGCCCTCTTATGGTAACCCCCCAAAATCCTTAGATATAGTTTAGTTGTTAACAAGGGATACAGTTTTCTTCGTTTTGTTCTTATTTTTACCTTACAACCAGAACAGAAACCACAGCTACCATGAGATCAATTCTGTTTGCATTTGGAAGTCCATATGTACCCTGCAAACATCATGCGCTAAACGACCGCATGAAATAAATTACTGACGCCCTTGATTTACAATAGTTAAGTGGACTGTTTCAAAACCGATACAAATCAGAAGCTTTGTCAAAATTGTTTATTTGGATTCCACAGACATTAAAGACATCGTGAGGGTAGATTGTGGATCGCCATGTTTGATCGAAATTTGGAGATGAAACTTTGATCGAAGATTGAGTGGTCAACAAAGTGTTTGGCACGGCCAAGCCATATCAATACACTTGTTAAGTCACATGCCAAGGTGGATGAAAATAGTGACGCCTCTGAAGTAATTCCCTTTAGACACTCAAATCGATTAGTGACACAGGCTATGTAACGAAGTTTTGAGCATGCGCAATCGCAAATCTTGGCAATCAGAACCTCGACGCCAGGCGTTGCAGTCTCCGAATGCCGCGCAGCGTCGGTCTAGTAGCTAACGCTGCGATGTGGTTAACGGGTGGACGAAAATGATGACGCTTCTGAAAGAAGTACCTATGAGCGCTTCATACATTAAATCTTGAATATGGAAGGCAGTCTGGGCCCATATTTCACGTGTGCAATTTGTAAACTAATGATAGGAATGAATTGGCCTTCAAACCACCTCAAAGTGGGGCTGCAGTCTGGAGGTGGACGTTTAAGAGTTTTTTATTTTATTATTTTGTGTTTATTTTGCGTGTTCCTGTAACTATCAATCTGTCCTGAAGAGAGCTCAATACGTTGCCCGCGTCTGGTGGCACTTGCAGTGGCCGACGCCGTTCGGCTTTACGGCAGCTGCAACCCAGGCCATCGCTGTCCTTGCCCTCGAGGTTGCGGACGGGCATGTTCTCAAATCTTTTGGTGTAATTTGTTTCACTTATCCATTTTGAATAAGTGTACGTTCTCAGATAAATATGGGATTGCCTTTTTTGATTTTTAAAAAATCATTTCGACACTCTCTATTCAACATTAATGAGACCCCACTCTACTTGATAGAGACCCCTCACTCCTTTCCGAGCAGTGGGCCCCTCGAGCAGAACACCAGGGGCACATTATCATTTTTGGTGAAGGGTTGAAGGGCCATTCTGTCCCATCGCGACGTGCCTTCTGACTATCATTGTGACGACACTCGGCGGGGTCTCCTGGTCGACTCGGAGATCATTAGGAGGATATACCATATCACATTGTTCCCTTCCCTGACACGGGAAGCCTTCTGACCCGCACATTTGACCCCCAATCAGCACAGGAACCCTCACTGATGCAACAATATCCCTGATCGCCGCAGGTGGTCCAATAATTGTCACATACACCCCAGTTCCATGCTTTTCTGTGTTCATCGCAGATATTGAAAACTCTCTTAACGTAGATTGCAGATGGAATGAGGTCCCCAATTCGTATTAAGACGGCCAATCCATGTTCGTCCTAGAATGTTCAAAATTCGGTCAGAATTGATTACCGATAACAACTATGTAATATGGTTTTGAACATGCGCGCTCGTAAGTCGCAGCAACGAGTCTCGACGTCGGGCGTTGCAGTCTCCATAGGTCGCGTGGCGTCGGCTCTGCGCCTGTGGTACTTTACGATAGCCAATGAGCAATCGAAAAAGATGACAATTCTTGACGAAGATGGCTGACACCCAAGCACTGAACAATGTTTGGTTCAGCACACAGCCAGCTCCGCCGCGGACAACCTGTCGGGAGATTACAGAACTACAAGTGAGTGCTGTCCTACAGATGTTTCAGGACGCATTCAATGACGTGTTGAGGAGCATATTTATTAAACATTGAAATTTTGTTGTTAAGAGCAAATTTCCATTTAAAAGCATACCAATCGTTATAAGTTAGTTTATTTCATCATAACTGGTGCTTCCCTCAATATCGTGAAATATGCAACCTTCGGTTTCAACAGAAAATAATGGCCCTTGAATGGAATGTTCCACATTGGAAGATATCAAAGCAGTGTCAGATGTGATGGAATAAGCTCACCTTCAACTATCGGTAGGCTTTTAAGCGGAAAAGACTGCTCTGTCTGTATGCTCTGTCTGTAGACAACACAATCTCTCTTTTTAGTAGATACGCTTCTCAATACGTCCATTTGATTGCGTTTTGGAACGTCATGTATGACGTCGAAGTGCTGCCAAATTGGCGCGCGAAATTGCCACCCTAGCACTCGCAGGTAGTACTTCAACTCATCGAAAGATGGCAGTGGCGTTACCGGAAGTGCTCACTGAGCCATATATCATTGTGTGCTTGTTTTTACACTATCTCGTAGTGTTCTGGCATTTTTATTCCTGCGTGTAAGATGTTAACTTACCTTTACATGCTTGGTTATCGCAAGGCGAAGATTCCTCAGGCGCGTGCAGCCATTTCCCGATAATATGCTTCTTGGCCTTGAACGTTGTATGGCCTATAGGGTGGCAGGATTTGGATGAAGTTGGTGCGGCGTAATGCATGCCTGAATGGCCTTGTAATATTCTGCGCAAAATAGTCCGCAAAGCTTTGCGCGCGTGTAACTCAGAAGCTATGGGGTTGTAGGTTTGTAAAACTAAGAACCTTAGATTAGATCCCAGGGCTGTGAACTGCACCGAATAATCTTTGAAATGTCCGTTTCAGTTCAAAACCTCATACAAATGTGGAACACTCACTCAAGTTATACTGCATTTGCAAAGCCATGACTACTTGGCAGTAGAGCATTTTGCGTCAGAGACAGTTTTTTTTTAGCTGTTCACCGGACAGCACAAAGTGCTTCATCCACTTATTGCCTGTGCCGCATGTGCCGGGGCTTGTTACGGAAATACCTAATCGGAGCAGCTAACACAACCGTGAGCGTTTCTCAGTCGAAATGGAAGAGAATCTTCGGGTCTGCACGTGGCATCTTAGGCATGCTTTCTATATGTTTTCAAAATGTTCCCGTCTCTGTCAAAACGGTCACTTCTTGTCAGGCGCTTTGCGTCAAGCGTGCTGTAATACATCGATTGATACTGTACCGCTCGCATTCCATTGAAGCTGCCCACGTCGTACAGCATACATTGGGGCTGCAGCGTCATGGTGTTTCCCTGCCTGCCGGTTTGTGAGAGAAGTTTTCAGTAATGTCCCTGGAAGCAGAGTGAATGGCCAAACCAAAAAGGCTATCACGACTCGGGCTACGGTGAGTCAACTGGATTCTATTTCGGCCTAAAACGTAGTCTATTTCTGGCATGGAATGGATTTCCGGTGAGATACAACAAATGCATGGAAAACAAGCTTAGTTCCATGCATCATGCCGCACATTGGACACTCCGGTCTTCACGACAGTATCTGTAGTAGATAGTAGATAGTAGATAGTCTACCTGTAGTAGATAGTAGATAGTCTACCAGATAGATCATGCCGCCAGTCTTCACGATCACAAAGTAACACAGTAAACCACCCGCACTGCCAGGCATTCGTCGTGATACACCCATCGCTGACGTTTTTTGTTGCATGTCCGGCTGTGCTGGTGCGTGCTTTTTGGGACAGAAAACTATCGGTGTGGCTGATTTCCCACCGCACATTTCACACACTAGCAGCATAGCGCTGGCCACGGAGTGGCGCACGGCCTCGTGAGGCGGCTCTCTCAGCGCAAGAGGACGTTCGGTTCGCTGCCGTGACCGTGACATGTGCGCGTCTCTCTGCCTGCGCCAACAGGAGACTGGTGCGAGATTACCGCCCAGGACGGACCAGCAGGCCAGCTCGGACAGCCAGCCGACGGCTGACCGCGACGCTCGCGCAGAACCGGCGGCCGATGCGACCGAGGATGTGGAAGCCCGGCATGCCACAAGCGTAGACCCTGGCCCCATCCGGAATGAGGAGTTAGATTCAGACCCTGAGATCATTCCAGATCCTGACAGCGATCCAGACCACGCGATCACTTCGGACTCAAGCAGCCCGACTGATTTGAACTATGCGGTTAGTACGGAATCCCCTGACAGATCGGATCGGGACAAAAAGCCAGATCCAGAGCCTAGGCCAGCAATTAGAGATGAACCTGACAGGAAGCTAGACCCAGAGAGCATCGAGTTACGTCCAAAAACTAAGACTAGACATGCCGCTGAGATCAGCCCAGGTCATGAACCAGCTCCAGACCTGGTGACAAGTCAAGCCGACCCTCAGGCCAATCCCACCGCTGACACCAGTGCGAAGCGGTCGGCCCGTTCGGTGAACAACCGGTTGCTGGAGCTGCATGACCGGGTGCTGGCCGGTCCGCCGTGGCGCCCACTCGGCGCCTGGCTCGAGAGGACCCACGTGACCAGCGGCCCCGCCGAGCTGCGCGGCGAACATCGGTTTGTGGCCGACGGCATGCTGACGTCACGCGACTGCCGCCGGCTGATCGACATCCTGCAGGTCAGCGATAGTCCGCTCGGTTCATGTTCTAGTTGCACGCGCGGACCCAGATCGAGGCTCAGCTGTCTGTCAGATGCAAACGCAAATGACTGTGGCAGCAGGCGAAACGAATAACGTTTTCGGCCAAGGCCAGAAACGTGTGAGGATCAGGGGATATGCAAGTTATTGACGCGCACGAGTGTAGTCTTCATTTGTTCTGCACAAGGTATACACGAGGAATAAGCGCTAGGGCAGAATGATCCTGTCAGGCAGTTAGCCATAGCTTTTTCGGGGGAGAACAGGAAGGCGATGTCATGTTTTCTCAACCTCCTGTGACTTTAAACACCATCCCCGCGAAATCCATCGAAAGCTAACGTAAACGTCTTGACTTGAGCAGTGTAGCATGGCCCACGTGGCCCCTCTTGGTCACGTCACTCCAGTGGTGTTGAAATGCCTTAATAGTTCCAGCGAACAACTCATTGTTTTCCACGTAAACATGAGCCCGCATTAAGTAACTCTCAAACACGTGGGTTTACCCTGGCTCGAGCTTGTATCGATGAATTCTACTCAAAGCCCTCCTTGTTGTACGTGTAAACGGTTCCGACACACAGCAAGCGGTTTGCAGTGTTCCGCTCTTGCAGGCAGCGGGAGTGGCGGGCGATGGTTACCGCCAGAGGGTACCGCACACTCCGTTTGAAGAGTTTCGCGGTCTGTCGTTCGGCCGCCTTGTCGTGGTGAGCTATCCACAGAACCGTTTCGTTTATTGGAATCGCATCGTTCTCATTTTTACGTTCCTCTTTGCCTCATCGCATAATGACACTAACATACATTGCACTCTGTGAATTTTAAATATTACCTATCAGCAAATACATTTTTAAACTGTCACATTTTATTGAAACAAAATCTGAAATATCCCATTAAAAACTGGGCTTTGCTAGCGCCTTAAGGAAATATTTTGATAAGTGCGATAGCATTAACCTGCTAGTTAAACTAATTATACCCGATGCCGCGTCCACGCTCCACCTGAGCACATCCGAACACGCTATCGCCTCCTCCGGAAGCATGTGGTGCCGTCATGATGTCCTCTAAGCAGTGATCGCTGGAACCATGAAAGGCCAGGCCGCACCGCTGACCACGATCCGCTCCGGTCTGACATTTGACCGCGCCCGGCTTCAGAAGGTGGCACGTGACGAGGCGTCGCGGAACAGTCTGCGCTTCCTGATGGACGTGGCGGACGCGGCGAGGCTGTTCGTGGCCCGGCAGTTCGGCGTGGTCGAGCTCCACTCGTCCTACACACACCTGGTGGGCAGGACGTACCTGCCCGGTGAGTGCTGGCGACCAGAAGGTGCCCGCACGCTCTCTGTGCCTTGATGCGCCTTTCACTCATCACGGCGACCTATCAACAGATCTTTTCGCTTGGTGGTAGCGTGTCACTGCAGCGCGCGACCGAAGCGGCCTCGATTGTCGCGTACGAGTGTCTAATTTATTGACAAGTGTGACGGGCTGGGGCAAAAGCGTTACATGGACAGGATGTCGATCCCTCGTAAAAGCCGCACGGGCATGATTCAGGCCACCACATTGTACACTCGTTAGTAAAATAAAAGCAAGGCACCACCATGGTTGCTGGGATGTGACAACAGTAAAAGCTCGGCGAACGTAAACGGACACGAAGTCAAAAACCATGAAGTGAGGGGTTAAAGGGTCAAACGTGATGAAGTCAAACAGCAAAAAGTCATGGTAGACATACATGAAATGCATAAAAGTTAAGCAGTAAGGGTCAAAGGAACAACAAATCAAATAGCAGGAACTGAAAAAGATAAGTCATGTGCAAAAAGTCGAATAGGCAGAAATGGACAAGGATAGCAAGTGAAATGACGAAAAGTGGAATGTTGAATAGTTAAAAGATGAAAGTCAAACATAAAATTATCGGGGGTGAAAGCCAAAAGGCATAAAAACCACATAAATTACAGAGAAAAGGAGAGCTTGTTGCCCTTCGGCCTCTCCAATTACATATAAAACGGTAAAAAGGCAAGCTAAGAACTGCAAAACAAAATGAAACAGGTTCCTGGAATGCCTAAAGTAAACAAGCTAAAATACTCTCTTGCCCATTGGCCGGCAGTACATTCAGGTTAAATCCAGGAACTGAGGCCTTTCCATATCCACAGGAACTGTGCGTCTCAACTGCTTTCAAGCTTGGACTCCTTTAGATGTCAGCATCGCTCCTTGCACGCCTGCAGAGGCACGGGTCCGAAACTAGGGCGTATGCAATTTTAGTGGAAGTCCCTGTTCAAGAAACCAGACCGGCGTGAACTAGGTGACCTAGGCATCCAGAGCCCCACTTGACTTCCGTGGAATCCGTGGTCCGTGGAAAACCACGTCCATCTCAATATCTGTCCATACAGCTGCGAAGCATTATAACTTCGTTGACCAACTTTATCACAGTTTTTGATGCACAGTAGCTAATTACAAGGCGAACTACTTGTAACAATAACTGTGGCTCTTCACGATTTAAACCGGCCCAATCACAAAAAGCTGTCTCACCAGCAAAAAGTAAGTTTCCAGGTTTTAGTAGGTCCTCGTGTTTAACAGTGCTTTTTGTTTCTTTTAGTGGTCTCCGTGATCCAACAAATATGGTTAACTGTGCCTCCCCAGGGCCCAAAATAACTGAGAAACGTGATATACGTTTTGTTGAAATTGGGGAAGTCGGCATAGTCCTAAGGGGCTGGAATAAAGAATAGTGATAGGGCTGTTGATTGGCTCCCAATTGGCTCTGTTGATGACCGTCGATTGGCTCCCAATCAGTGTTGTGCAATGAACAATGACGCAACAAAAGAGTGTGTCGTATTGAGAATGATACTTTCTTAACAAAAAAATTGTGTTGTTTTGAACAGTATTTTCCACATAAGAGTGCACCAGTGCATAAGAGAAGTTAGAGTGCATAAGGGTAGTTAAAAATGAGTTTCTTCTATCACATCTGATGATTGCTTCAATATCTTCAAATGTGGAACATTCCCTTTAAGGCAGCCTGAGTATCATGCTGTATCGACCACTGAGGTACCACCGCTGAAACCAATATGCTTTTTGGCAGGTCTGGGACAGAAACGTCCAGCCTCTGATCTGAGCCATCCAATCCACGTGGACAACTGTTTATTATTCGACAACGGAACGTGCTCGCGAGGCAAGGGCGCTTACATTCACCGCCACTACAGTGCCATCCTCTACCTGAACGACAACTTCAAAGGCGGCGAGTTTGTATTCGCCAGGGATCTGATCGATAGAAAGCCAGTGGTGAGTGTCGCTGCACGATCAAACAGTTTTGGACGAGACTGCTAGATTTTAGAAATGTGGTGCCAACCCCTTCGCATCGGCTGTGCATACGTCTCCCCCGTTGTCGCCGCAAAGCATTCCGCCCCAGCGTACCCAGCTCTAGGATGTGGGGTGAATCTTCACGCCCAATCTACAGGCATAGCTGTCCGCCCAGCCGTCGCAGTGCAGCGCCGGTGAGCTGTCCCACTGACCCAGCACCTCCTCGCGGCGGCGCCAGGTGCGCGTGCGTGCGCACTGCGGCAGACTGGTGGGCTTCTCGGCTGGCACGGAAAACCCGCACGGCGTACTGGCCGTCACGGCCGGCACCCGCTACGCCCTGGCCATGTGGTACACTGAGACGGCCGCGCAGCGCGAGGACGAGAAGATGGTCGCCGAGCTGTACCTGCACGACCCCAGCATGGCAGGTGCGAGTCCCGCGGAATGACCCGATCATGACGTGTGTGACCCTGTTGCCTGGTCCGGCTAAATTAGGCATGGGTATTATTTCGCAACCGGAGAATGTAGGTCTTACTGCATGAGCCGAGCATGATGGGCACGAATTTCACTACGTGGCCTTCATCACGAAATCTATGTCGTCTCCCTGACGGACAGAGCACGGAGGACGTGGCTAACTACAAAAAAACAAAAACATTCCCTCCAAGCACGCTTTGCCTTGCTGCGCAGCAAGAGTCCCACTGATATACCTGCCTGCCAAAGTGCTTTTCCGCATCGACCATGCTTGTTAAGAGTATATTCCGAGTAAAATGAGAATATACCGTACCGTATGCGCTGAGTAAGCGCTGCACTGCAGCACTCAAAAGGTAAATGGACAAAAAGAAATGGTGGAGAGGACGAGATATGTTTGCCACGGTAGAGCCCACACCGCCATGGTGCCGTGCCTTTCTTCGATCTCTACTAAAAGCGCGGCGTGTTGTCTTGACTAGGAGAAAACAAGCGGATTTCCGGTCTTGTGAATGTGCACAAATCGCGAAAATCGCAACGCGAATTACTGACCGTTGAGCATCGGTTTCACAAACACAGGCAGCTAGACCTCGCCTTGAGTTACGTCGTGTTCTGGCAGCGGTGAAGAACATGGTTTCCGGACTGGACGCCAAATTCAAGAAGGTGGACAAAATGCTGGGCCACTAGAGATCGCTACTGAAAGAGGCCACGAGGCAACACGGCGGACGTACTGGCCTTCTGTACTGGACGCTGCGTACTGCCCAGACAGGCTGGCTGGCCTGGTGTCCCGGCCAGCAGACAGCTTCCTCCTACCGAGGCCGCTGGGCTTCCCTGTGTGGGCAGGTGCGAGCCAAACAACTGTGATCTGTTTATTGAACGGGTTTGAGTTGGTGGAGGGGCGACAGGAAGCGGGAAAATCGATTACGGCTGCCGGCTGTGTGTTTGGGTACAGTGTTCTACGGTTTTCGTCTAAACTTTAGATGACCCCTTCCATTGTTTTCATTCGTCCTATTTGCTACGGATGGTCTTTGGTGTTGTTTAAATATGTGTTTGTTGATTGTTATCTTCACGTATTTTGTTCGTGCTCCAGTTCTGGCATATGATCGTTACGAGCTTCAATATTGTGCCAGGGGTCAGTGGTAGTGTGGTTAACGAACTCGCGAATTTCTCGGAGGAATGCTTTTTTAGTGCCAAGAGTAAACGTCGGCTGTGAGATAGCATAAACCAGGCAAAGGTGAACGACGACATCGCAGACTGGATGAGTGACTAGCTGGTGGCCGGGACCCTGGTGCTGGTCGCGGCGGAGAGCGGGACAGCCGACGGTCGGCTGCCCCGCCCACCGGTGGGGGGCGCCACCTAACCCCTCCAATCGCGTCGGGGAGATTATCCCACAACTATGCTGGGATCATGGTCCTAAAGTTATAGTTTTATAAAGTAAAACGTTATCTCACACTGTTCCTCACCCGCATCTCATACAAACCGTAAAATGTGCTAGGATGCTGGGTTACTGCCAGCATCCTAGTATTTTAGTATATTTTACGATGTCATCATTTTGTCCTAGTCATCCAGGGGCGTACTAAAGTTTGGGGGGGGGGGGGGCGGGCGTTTCGGGCGGGCGTACGTTTCCGGTATCAGTTTCATATGTGTATTCAAACGCATATGAATAGACGCCGACCGTTAAAAACAGAAATACGTTGATTTCACGACACGTAAAAATACGTTAATTCCAAAGATGCGATTAAAATGATATGCAAGAAACTTTGCGCCTGCTATGCCTCAAAATGTTTTTCGTGGAAAATGTTAGCTGTGACAGTCATTGCAAGCTTCTGTACACAGTCATGCATGCAGCGACGACTTAAAATCAAAACCTTGAGCTACGATTGGGCTGATACGTCTACACGGCGCGGTTTCAGAAGGGCTTGTGCTATAGTTGCGCTCTGCGGCGCAGGGCACTGCGCTGATGATCGGTCACCGACCCGCGGTACATATGTTAGCCAGTTCTTCTGCGGACTACCCTGACTGGCCGTAAGAGGCGATTTCCAACGGCCACGTAGAACTGCGGACATCTGGCCACTTTCTGTTGCCAACTGCTGCGCGGCGCCTGGGGAACCGAAGTGTGGGCCAGAGGCCCTTTCACCTGGGGCTGGACTTTGAACCCTACTACACGGGTTGCATTGCACCTCTAAACGAAATTGCGGCTTCGAAACGAATCACCGTGGTATTGTTAAGTACTCGGGTCTGTAAAACCTTTCGCAAGTCTGCGGCCGGCTCTGGGAAATTCCAAAGCGCGGCCAGTATGTAATGCCCTCCGAACATGTCAATTTTGGTTGCAGTGACCAAAAGCTATTCACCACATGTTGACCAGCTTTTATCAACTTCCACGAATCATTATGTTCACAGCTTCGCAGATTAATATAATAAGCAGACTTAAGAAAAAAGGGACCGTAGGTTCATTTTCATTCGGACATTCAGGAGCATACTATAAGTCATAAGCCTTAAATACTTTCCAGCTGGCACCTACAGGCCGCAGTTGGGCCAAACTCCACGATCCAACTAGCGAATCTTGTCAACGGACCCTTGTCCCCGGAAGAACTGACGATATTCTTTCTGGAACTAGCGCGTATCATGAGTATTGCAGTCTTCGGAGTACTCCATGTCGCAGTCGGGCGCCTCATTCCCACGTGACCCGGACCCGCTTGCTAACATAGGAACGCTGTTGACACTGCGACTTCTGCTGAGCGAAACGTATAAAAAACATGAGGCTTATAAGGCTGACGAAACCCTTCTGAGGCTTACAACATAGCGGACCGCTGACTATTTGACCTTCCCGCACATTATATGTGTAGGAGGCCTTTTTACAGCTAACTTTTGCATCTGTTCATTGACGTTGGTATTTTTAATGTCACCCGTCACAGCCTGTTAGTTGTGTACCCACGGATAACTGGTCAGACATAACCGTTAGGTTACGTAATAAGTAACCAGCAACTTGAAACGAAGTACCTTACGACGCGCATTCTCTTTTGCAACAAGTACTTATACCTAAGCCAAAAAGCACCCACGCTTGCCTCATGACTTGATGCTTGCGTGTGGGCCAAAGTACTTAAACAGTTGAGATCATCGTTAGATTTGAACTAAGATAAGCGTGCTTCGACTGGAAAAGTCGGGGTGATAATATCGCTGTTTTCATAATGTATACCACAATAAAATGGAACATGGTGCCGGACGACTTTGGAAATCTTACGAACAGATCTACATCTAAACGTTCGTCCGTCAGATGCGTTAGTCAGAGATTTAGCGAGATCGGTTAAGGCATCAATTTACAAATGACGTGCCTTGCCAGTTCGCTGGCAGGGGGCCTCGCCAGACCATGCCATCTTGGCCGACAATTCACTTAACTTTGCACGATTTACGGTTTCTTTGACTGCGACCAAAGTTGTACTCTCAGAAAAGCTCAAAGTGTCAGTGCTGATTCAAAAGCTGGAAGGACCGCAAGCCCCCGTGCCCGCAACTGTCCGGTCAGTTATTCCACCGGCCGTCGTCAGGTCCTCGTCGGTCTTGCTGAAGACCCAGAGACGTTCCCCCAGTGCCCGCAACTGTCCGGTCAGTTATTCCACCGGCCATCGTCAGGTCCTCGTCGGTCTTGCAGAAGACCTAGAGGCGTTCGCCGCACAGCCATGTGCGAATCAGCCTCAAAAGTCCCTGGATACCAGAGACTTTGGAGGGTGTAATATACGGACGCATGACCATGCCCCACAGATCCCCAGGTCTTTACAGTAGCGACAAACACCTGAAGACGGCCAATTAACTAACTGACCGAAACGTAGTGTGCAGTCCGATACAAATGACGAGGACAAAAGTGAGGACGACAGTCTACAGACTGGGCTAAACGCCCATATGCCTTCCGTGGATGGGGAACAAAAGTTGGCTTCAAGACCGATCAGTGACGTCACTGCGAGTTGGACGGGATTCAGATCGCTTCAAATTATTGGGCCCAACCGAAAGTGCCTTGGCTTACATGTGTAGAGCATCGCAGCGTACCATCAAGGTACGTTCGCGAAATTTATGTTGTCCCTAGTTCGTTGCTGGGTGCAAGGAAGTGTATATATATATATATATATATATATACCTATACAAGACGGTTCCCAGCAGTACCTTGTGCCTGATTTTTTTCTATTGAATAAATGGATGTGACACACCTTGTTCTTTCGCTGTTACGGGTTATTATCGTTGTGTGCTACAGTGCTTGGTGGAAGCGCCAGCTCCATAATCTACAGCGCTTGGTTTTCGCATTTGTTGTTTTATTTGATGAGCTAACTCACCGATGTTTGACCACCTAACACCTATCTAAAATGTGTATGTGCATAAAACTGAGCAATACAAACAAGTGCTAATACAAAATCCAATGAAGCCTCTCGAATTCGTACGCAAAACGCTTCAAGAAAATTGCACGTCGTCAACTGAATTCCGTAACCATGCGGCGCACCAATATCGGGTGGACTAACATCACGTCGTTATTCCCTCACGTAAGACAACGCATCACACACAGCAAACATATTACTCCGAGATCACAACTTGATACGTTTCGTCGGCGGCCAGCTGAAGTCCA